TAATGTTATATTTTGCCCAGATTTGTGGATTAGGCAAAACATAGAAATGGTGTAAAAAAAGGGTTATTCCAGAGGGTTTGTATGAGGGGATAGCGTTGAAGGGTCACGGGTTTCTACAGTCAGGTCCATAAATATTGGGACATCAACAGAATTCTAACATTTTTGGCTCTATACACCACCACAATGGATTTGAAATGAAACGAACAAGATGTGCTTTAACTGCAGACTGCCAGCTTTAATTTGAGGGTATTTACATCCAAATCAGGTGAATTGTGTAGGAATTACAACAGTTTGCATATGTGCCTCCCACTTGTTAAGGGACCAAAAGTAATGGGACAATTGGCTTCTCAGCTGTTCCATGGCCAGGTGTGTGTTATTCCCTCATTATCTCAATTACAATGAGCAGATAAAAGGTGCAGCATTCATTTCAAGTGTGCTATTTGCATTTGGAATCTGTTGCTGTCAACTCTCAAGATGAGATCCAAAGAGCTGTCACTATCAGTGAAGCAAGCCATCATTAGGCTGAAAAAACAAAACAAACCCATCAGAGAGATAGCGAAAACATTAGGCGTGGCCAAAACAACTGTTTGGAACATTCTTAAAAAGAAGGAACGCACCAGTGAGCTCAGTAACACCAAAAGACCTGGAAGACCATGGAAAACAACTGTGGTGGATTACTGGTAGGTGTATGTGTGTCAAAGTCAACAGTCAAGAGAAGACTTCACCAGAGTGAATACAGAGGGTTCACCACAAGATGCAAACCATTGGTGAGCCTCAAAAACATGAAGGCCAGATTAGATTTTGTCAAACGACATCTAAAATAGCCTTCACAGTTCTGGAACAACATCCTATGGACAGATGAGACCAAGATCAACTTGTACCAGAGTGATGGGAAGAGAAGAGTATGGAGAAGGAAAGGAAGTGCTCATGATCCTAAGCATACCACCTCATCAGTGAAGCACGGTGGTGGTAGTGTCATGGCGTGGGCATGTATGGCTGCCAATGGAACTGGTTCTCTTGTATTTATTGATGATGTGACTGCTGACAAAAGCAGCAGGATGAGTTCTGAAGTGTTTCGGGCAATATTATCTGCTCATATTCAGCCAAATGCTTCAGAACTCATTGGACGCCGCTTCACAGTGCAGATGGACAATGACCCAAAGCATACTGCAAAAGCAACCAAAGAGTTTTTTAAGGGAAAGAAGTGGAATGTTATGCAATGTCCAAGTCAATCACCTGACCTGAATCCGATTGAGCATGCATTTCACTTGCTGAAGACAAAACTGAAGGGAAAATTTCCCAAGAACAAGCAGAAACTGAAGACAGTTGCAATAGAGGCCTGGCAGAGCATCACCAGGGATGAAACCCAGCGTCTGGTGATGTCTATGCGTTCCAGACTTCAGGCTGTAATTGACTGCAAAGGATTTGAAACCAAGTATTAAAAAGTGAAAGTTTGATTTATGATTATTATTCTGTCCCATTACTTTTGGTCCCTTAACAAGTGGGAGGCATATATGCAAACTGTTGTAATTCCTACACCGTTCACCTGATTTGGATTTAAATACCCTCAAATTAAAGCTGACAGTCTGCAGTTAAAGCACATCTTGTTCGTTTCATTTCAAATCCATTGTGGTGGTGTATAGAGCCAAAAATGTTAGAATTGTGTCGATGTCCCAATATTTATGGACCTGACTGTAATTGAAGCCCCAGGTTCCAGGCCTTAATTGTTATTACTATAGAGGGAGTGAGAGGGTATGGAGCCTTAAGGCCACAGAGTATGAATTGTAGGGTCTCTAGAGAACCCAAAAGTGCTGCCTCCAGCATAGTGCTGCCAGTGAGCTGTCATCAATTGCATAGCTAAATGGTTATTTACGGCAGTCCGGCAGAGCTAACCCCCCCCCCCAGAAAAATGGGCACATTAGAGTTGTCAACTTGTAGCATGGAGTTTGTGGGCCACATGAAAGGTGGATAATAACCTATTTGTTGAACAAAAAAGGTTTTGGGGATTCATTGAGGAGAGTGCCGAAAAAGATACATAAATTTGGGGGGTAGTTTTCAATTTGACCAAATATATGCGGCCCAGTAGAGACGGCAGGTTGCCCCACACGTTCAGTTTAGCCTTGATTTCTTACATAGCAGGTAATGGATTTAAGGAGAAATAATCAGAGGCTGTAAAGGAAACAATGACCCCTAGATAAAGAAAGTTATTAACCCATGGTATTGGGAGATCCTTCGGAGCTTGTGTCAGGGCACCATCAACAACAGGGAACAGTACCGATTTATGCCAACTGACTTAAAGGCCGGTGACAACAGAGAAGGCATTTAGGATCCAAAGAGCTCCCTGTAGGGAGGGACCCGCGTCATGCAGAAATAGTAGCATGTCATCAGCATATAGGGCCAACTGTTCCTCAACCCACCCGAAGCCTCTGAACCCTCGGGAGACACCCAAAGGGCCTCTGCGATAGGCTCGATCGCCAAGGCAAAGAGAGTCAGGGATAGGGGGCAGCCCTGCCTGGTACCATGAGACAACTGAAAGGGAGCTGAAAGACCACCTAATTGAAGCAGTGGGATGAGAATACAAGACCTTTAACCAGTTAATGAAATGATTAGGCAACCCCATTCTGAGTAACACTTCCCGTAAGTATGGCCACATCACAGCGTCAAACGCCTTCTCGATATCTAACGAGGTTACCATCCTGGTCCCCGTATGAAAATGTAGTGTGAGAATGTGAAAAGTCAATGGATATTAATGTCTGTGGATCTATGGGGCATGAAGCCTGTGTGATGTGAGTCTATTAGGAAGCTAGTAACCCTGCTGAGCCTGGTGTTTAGCAGTTTGGTCAGGATTTTAAGATCACAGTTGAGAAGGGCAATAGGCCAGTATGAGGCGCACAATGTGGGATCCTGCGGGCTTTTACGAATCAATGTAATATGTGCCGTTTGCATAGCTGGAGGGAGAGACTTGGCTTCCAGACATTGAGAATAGAGAGATGCCGTGGGGCTACGATGTCGCTATGGGCCTTATAAAAGTCCATGGGAATACCATCAGGGCCAGGAGCCTTCCCAGAAGGGAAGGACATGATAACAACACACACTTCTTCAACGGTAAAGGGTCGCACCAGCTTCTCTCTTTCTTGATCCAACAACCAACCCAGGGCCAAGGGACCAAATAAATCCATAAGATGTGGGGTGTCAAAATCAGAGGGCATGGAAGAGGTATAACTGCCAGTAATACTTTAGAAACTTCTGTAGGATCTCCTCAGTAGAGGAGACCATAGTGCCCCCTGATGTGCAGATTTCAGAAATGGGTGTGATAGGTCTGTCATTTTGTGCAAGCATAGCTAGAAACCTATCATTCCTATCCCCCTGTTCAAAGAATAATTGCTACTATCCTTTAAATCTAGCCTAGTAGCCTCCGCCATATGGAGTTGTAGGTCCCATTTTGCTGCCAATAGAATATCAAAGTCTCCCGGTGTGTTGGGAGACTGCAACAGATTCAGCCTTGTCCTCCACTTCCTGCTGTAAAGCTGAAGCCTCAGAGACTTGCTCCTTACATATGGCAGCTATGAGAGAGACATATTGTCCTCTAACACAAGCCTTAAATGCATCACAGACTAGAGCCGGAGGGACAGATCTCTCATTGGTCTGCCAATTGGCCTGAATGGTAGAAGGAATCTCTGTTGTAGCCTTAGGGTGTGTTATCCATTGCGGTCCCAACCTCCACAAAGAGGGATTACGTGTCTCCCAAGATCTAATGGTCATGGTCAAGGGAGAATGATCGGATAGGCCTCTAGGAAGTTGTTAAAACATCAGTCCATATACAGGGACTCGCAAACACAAGCGGGATGCTGTCTTGTAAGTTGTGGAAATAGCAGGGGTAGGGAATTTTTTTTCTTAATTTTTTAATTGCTGGAAATTTTTTTTTTTTTTTTTTTTTTTTTTTTTTAACATTCATTTGTCAGCAGGGAACCCTGCTGACAGCTAATGACACATTAGTTGTTAAGGATGTGCCGTCCGCCAACCGTGACAGCTACAGGTTGTTTTTTTTTTTTTAAATAACAAACATGTCATACTTACCCACTCTGAGCAGTGGTTTTGCACAGAGAAACCTTGATCCTCCTCTTCTCGAATCCCCAGCTGGTGCTCCTGGCCCCTCCCTCTTGTCAGGTGCCCCCATAGCAAGCAGCGTGCTATAGTTGCACCCAAACAGGTGCGCTCCCTGAGCCGCAGCTGTGTTTATCCACTCAGACACAGAGCCGTGGCTCGGCCCCTCCCTTTCCTGATTAGCTTACTGGCCGTGATTTACAGCAGCAGGAGCCAACGGCTTCTGCTACTGCCTCAATCAGTCAGAAGTAGGATTGCCCGGAGAACCGGGGGAACTCGTAGACATCACTGGATCGGGATGGGGCTCAGTGGTAGGGAGAGCTGGGGGTGCTGCTACACACAAAAGGTTTTTTACATTCATGCATACAATGCATTAAGGTATAAAGAACACATTGAGCCTATAGAACCATTTTAATTACCGCATGCATTTAATTATTTCTTTTTGTGAATTGAGTTTAATGTTTTTGTATGCGGTATTTACTGAGTGCTTTAGCTATATGCGGTAAATACTGAATATTAGCAATGGTAAATTGATATTTTACGTATCGCATGTGATATGTGGTCACTTGACCAACCTGACGTATGCAATAACCTTTAGTGAATTGTCCCCAGTGTCAACAGAAATTAGGGTAGATCAGTAAACAGATGTTCGATGCTAAATATGTCTCTGACGAGAGGATTCATTATTAGTTTTCATCCTCATGGTCATCATCGGGACTGAGGGAATGGAACGTTTTGCAGTTTTCACAGAAGAAGAGGGAATATCTCCCAAAAAGGGGACACATTATGTGATACTGATTTTGTCCATGTATTTGTATTTGTCATTTATATGTATATATTTATACTTGGAAAAAAGGTTACATATTTTATGATTCCAAATCATTTATATTATTCAGGCTGCTATGCAGAAGACATCTTTGGAGAGCTGTTTACTGAAGCAAGTATGTTTGCCCAGCGTGTGGGAATGCTGGGTGAGAGAGTGGAAAAGCTACAGGTCAAAGTGACCCAGCTTGATCCTAAAGAAGAAGAGGGTAAGTTGTTTGAAAAGATACCCAATTTAGGAAAATAAGAACTTCTCTAGCTTGATAATGAAAGCATTGTAATGCCCCAGTGTCATATATGATTTGTGGTATGATACAGAAACATTTATTGACCATAAGCAGCTCTTAGAAAACTACTTGTTATGTTTTCATCAGTCTCAAGTGTTTTTTACTTTTATTTCCAGTTTCTCTGCAGGGCATAAACACGAGAAAAGCATTTCACAGTAGTACCCTGCAAGATCAACAACTCTTTGTACGCGATTCTCTTTCGGTTCCTGTCTGTGAAACATATGCTACCTGTGACATGCCACCACCACTCAACATTCTTACCCCATACAGGTAACAAGGCTTTTTGTTATGTGTATTGTATGGATGTGCAAATGTTTTGACCTTGTTTCAGAAATCTTTCTTGCTTTTTACAGGGAAGATAGAAAGGAGGCCTTGAAGTTTTACACAGACCCATCCTACTTCTTTGACCTGTGGAAAGAAAAGATGTTGCAGGACACAAAGGATATCATGAAAGAAAAGCGCAAACATAGGGTAAGAAGCAGAATGCTGCATGAGATGGGACTGCTTAGATGTATTATTTTACTTCTCATCCAGCTGAAATAGTTTTATAAGGATAACTTTACCCAAGATGAAGTAGGAGAAAGGGAGTGTGTTACTGGGGAAGATGTTAAAATAGCATTTATTGTTGTACTTTTAGGTTCTGTTGCAAAGATCTTTGATGTAGGAGTCCCTTGCCAAGTAAAGTGATCATCTTCCCACTTTAGGACAGGCTGATGGGACACACCTGTGATGTCCTTATCATGGTTATAGATGTTATAGATGTGTTTTATAGCTTTTGGTTCAGTCTTTTCAAATCTTTGAATTTAGTTTTTCTTTAAGTAGCAAACCTTGTACCTTTTTAAAAGATTGATGTTTCATAAAACTTTTCCTGATTGTACATTAAGGGACTCAGGATGCATCCAGGTACATAAGGTTATTTAGATAACTTTTAGGAGATTGGACACTAGCAAACAATGCTGTAAGGACATCCCTGTATAACCCTACTCCTATCATGCCTAGTGTGTTTGTTGTGTTCTTAGGAAAACAGGCATTTTCTCTCTAATCTATAAGAGAAGCAAATCATTTCTTAATTTTTTCTTCTTTATCAAGACATTTTTTCTTCTGAAAGACTCTTCAGTTGCTGCAGAACCACTGGGGATCATTTTGCATTTTTGAGATCAGCTGTTTCTAGGCATAGCCTTTCATCATGTTGAATTGGGTGCCTCTACATGGCTCTTCTGAGTCTCCTCAGCCTCTTTGGGGTATTGCACAAGCTTTCGCTGTTTTCCTGAGCATGCTGTCTTTTCAGCTAGTCTCTGGACATTGCACCCTGCCTTCTCTTCTGCTTTATCAGGATGTGTAGTGTGCTGCCTCTAGTGGCAAGGTAAAAGACACCATTAACATTTCCTGCTTCATGTACCCCTTCTTTGTTCAGTGACTTGGTACATGAGGAATCACTGTTGCCTTACATCACTCCAAAACTTAAAGCGGCATTAAACCCAAAAGCTAACATTTATTATATTGCGGCTTATCAATTGTTAGATGTGATGACTGCATTAATTTTCTTTTTTTAGTTTTTCTTGCTTTTATTTTCACCTGGTGATCCTGCCAGTAAATCTGTTGTTTTGCTGAACAAGCTGTCCAGCAAATGTAGCAGTTAGAGGGTTGAGACGAATCCAGAGTGTTGGCACTGTAATACAAGAGGTGTCTTATTGGCCAGATTACCGGGTGATAATAGAGGGAAGAGAGCCTAAGAAAAGAAAAATGAATGCAGTCATCATATTTAATGATTGGTAAGATGCAATATATTACAGTTTTAGTTTTGGATCTAATACCACTTTAAATACACCATTATGGTCTTTGCTGCTGCATTGCACACATCTAGACCTGAAACTGCCTTTGTCATCTTAACCTAAGGTTATCAGCCTGGGTTCTCTTAAAGCAATATTAAAGGTTCATTTTTGTTTTTGTAAAGTAACAAGCTTGTCTATACTTACCTGCTCTGTGTAGTGGTTTTGCACAAAGCAGACTGGATCCTCCTCTTCTAGGGTCCCCTCATGCTCTCCTTGCTCCTCCTTTCGGTCGGGTTCCCCCATAGCAAGCAGCTTCCTATGGGGGCACGCGCTGCTCCTCTGTGTGTCCATTCACATGTGGAGCTGCGGCTTGGCCCTGCCCCCTCTCCTCATTGGCTGACTGGTTGTGATTGACAGCAGCAGTAGCCAATGGCTCCCGCTTGCTGTGTCAGCCAGTGAGGAGGCAGAGACCCAGTACAGCGGAGGCTGTAGTGCATATTGCTGGATCTCGATGGGGCTCAGGTAAGTATTGAGGGGGCTGGGAACACTGCTGCACAGAGGTTTTTTACCTTTATATAGAATGCATGAAGGTAAAAAACCTTGAGCCTTTACAACCACTTTAAAGGTCCTTAGCCTGTTCAGACCTTTCCTGATCACTCATTATTGCAACCTGTTTTGTATAGTAATTGGTCTAATCCAGAAAAAGTCCTTACTCCTCCAAAGTATTTTTCTAAGCAGAAGGGTTCCTTAAAACGTGGACTGTTTCCATAGAGAAACTGGCAATTTCATGGCCTAACAAGACTTTGACTCTCCTTGTTGAGGACATCTTGGTGTTTAAAGATCCATTGGCCAAGAGGCTAGATGCCCTTTCCAAAGTCTTAAATCATACAGTACAGGACACAGTTGAGTATTCCTTGACTCTGGATTATAGACTTGTACCTTCAGGTGATTTGAGACTGTCAAAGTTAGAGGCTCACCTATAACCCTACCCCACTCCATAAGTCCTCTGTTTTTTGCCAGTATCCTAAGGTAATGGACCTTTTCTTCCTTATGGAGAAATAATTTTAGCTTAACTTGTTTATTATTTTATCTTTGGATTCTTCAGTCAACTCTCTATTGTCTTCTAATACAATAGAAGCAGTGAATCTGGATTGGTGCAACCTAAGTAAAGCCTTGGGAGCCTTAACCAGACCCCATGCTGTGGGGATGGCCTGTAATGTTGCTTTGGGCACTGGATCTTGTTTGGAATGTATTCACTTCATAGTGCAAACCTTTCAGGTGTTGCATCACACAATGAATTTACCCCACAATGAATTTACCCCAATTTCTGATTAGAGATGTTATAAGATACTTGAGCACTTCTTCCCGTCCTTTTGCCGCAAAGACTCTGCTACAAGATGGTCTAAACCTAGCTAGCCACATTCTCCCTCCTGACATGCATACTCAGCAACCTAATTCGTGAGTACCCCACAGGGTAAGCTTTGCTATAGTGAAAGGGAGCCACATAAAAACCTCAGGTAAACACTTGCTCTGATGAAGGCCTGCATTGGAGCAGGACCTGATTTTAACACCAGTCTTTGCATCCAATTCTAACTCTACCTCAGGATTGCAACAAGCTGCTTACCTGAGAAAAGCAGATCTTTCTGCAACAATGTCAGTTATTCTCAGACAACCAACAACCCGGCCCAGCCTTGAACAAGTAGACATGGAAGGGAATGAAGGAGACATGGAGGCAGTTCTAGAGGTGGCTGTGAAAGATTTCTCTCTCCCAGACTTTTACACATGAAACAGGAGTTTCATGCAGCGTGCTTGTAATTGTGGACTTGTTCACCTCTGTTGTGCTCAAAAGCCCCACTATTGACACACCCAATTCTCTGTTGCGTACAAAAAGACCTGCAAAATCTGAAAAGACATTTCCTGTCATGAACAATAAGATTAGTCAATTTATAATGATTGAGTCACACTGGGAGACGATTTTCACTCCTCTCAAAGTTATTACCAAGCTCTCTCTGGTGGAAAAAGAGTTCTCCAATAAGTGGTCTGACCCGGTAGTTGATCATGCCGTTTCAGTTTTGAACAAATATCTCACTGTTCCAATTGAAGATGAGCCTTCATTCAAATATTCTGCTGTAAGGAAGCTTGAGACACTCCAAAAGGATCTCGTTACTCTTGCAGTCCCACCTCTGCAGCCAGCTATCTCTGCAATTTCTATCTCTAACTGCAGCTAACTGGGATAGGGCCATGAACAACCAACACAACAATGCATTCTAAGGCCATGTCTTGGCTTAGCAATTTCAGCAGTTACCTTCTGCCTTACTATTTTATGTTGATGTCCTAGAACATATGAAACCAATTTCCTGAAGTCCAGGCATATGCACATAATCTTATGGCTAAAAGCCTGTACAGCGGAAGCTGCCTGTGAAAGATGACTTGCATGCATGCCCTTGAAGCACACTTGTTTTTAGTTAGGCACTTTCAGTAAAGATGGTACAGGGAAGGTTTTTTTTTCCCAAAGCACAAGATTCCTAAACCCCCATCCTTTTGAGCCTCTATCTCTTCAAGATACAGAGCACCCAATCACTCTACTCAAGCTTCCACTTCAGAACCTATGTTCAGCCTATCCTTTCTGCTTAAGACTTGGGCCACAAAGCTCACCAAGTCTTTTTCAAAGTCTTATTCCCAGTGAAGGCATGCCCTCAGTTCTAAGAACGGAGGGGTATCTTTTGCATGTGCTTGTCTGGTTCACAGATGTCCCAGACCTGTGGGGTCAATTGGTGGTTTCAGAGGGGTACAAAATAAAGTTCAAATTTCTATCCCCTTGCCAGTTTCTCGCAAGTTATCCAATAACTGCCAAAGGACAGCCATGTTTGCAGAATGCCCTGAACCATCTATTGTCGGTACTGAACCAACTAGTGCCAGTACCTCCACAAGGCAGAATCAAATGGTTCTATTCATACCTGTTAACAGTACCAAAGTGCAGCAGAGTTATTTGTCCTATTCTGGACCTCAAATTTGAAAATTTCACTTGGAACATTCAAGGCCGGTTATTGCCTATTTGAGACACGGGTCATACCTGACATCGTAGACTTTCAAGATGCCTATCTGCATATTCCCATTTATCCAGCTCATCGGCCTTTCTGCACTTTACAGTGGAAGACAATAATTTCCAGTTTGTCGCACTACCTATCCTGACCTATCCTCTGCTCCTAGAGTATTCCCAAAAGTCTTGGCACTTCTTCTTGCTCATTTAAGAACTCAGGGCTTCCAGGTCGCAGATTATCTGCACAACCTTCTCCTGAAGGGTTAATCTACCTTTGAGCTATCTGCAAGTATCCACAGGACAATTCAGATGCTCCAGGCATTTGGTTTTATGATCAATCAGATAATGCCTTGGCCATGGCTTTGATCAACCACCAAGGGGGTACCAGGAGTCATGAAGGAAGCAAACATCTCATGGACTGAAGCCCACTGTCCAGCAATCTCTGCAATCCACATCCCAGGAGTGAAAAACTAGAAAGTGGGCTATCCCAGCTGCCACTGCCTGGAGAACCCCTCACCATGAAATCCTCAACTTGATAGGTCAGTAATGGGGGACCCTGGATGTGTGGATATCCTGGTCTCCAGGTTCAACAGCCAACAAACTTTGGTTGTGGCCAGGTCTAAAGATTTTTTAGCATGAGCATCAGATGACTATCTAGT